TTTTGCACTTTGAAAACAAGAAGGCCTGAATGGGAAGAATAAGTTGAATTGAAGACTAACCGGATCGCAAAAGGGTTGTCCACTAATCCATCAGCCTACCACCCTTGTCCGTTTGAGCAACTACCTTTTCACGCTACATGGACTTTGGTCCTGTTGAAACGACGTGATCAAAATCGATGCTTCTACCAAAATCCACTAGAATTGCCGGTCCTATGACCAAAATTGAAGTTATGTCGTATAAAACCTTGTTCCGGTTCTAAAAATTTCCCCGCTGCGGGACCGACCAGCCTTAAAGAAAAAATGAAATGAAAGAGAAATGAGAAATGAGGCCAGATATGATGAGTGACGCCTAGCAATCTCAGCGTTTTCCTATTTCTTCCTATTTTCTTTCGCTGGAATAGTAGCGCCATTAGACAATGGTGGCGCAGTGGCGAGCGGCGCTGCTTACCACATTCTCACATCTTGAGAGGTCAGGTGTTAAATCGACTGTCTCCTATTCTGGCCAAGCCTTCCACGCTCAGCGACCGGTTGACTAGTAGTAGACTCGCCTGGGGGGATGAAACACTGACTTGTACACCATCTGATCCCATTCGGTCATCGTAGATGTTAGATTGTATTGGAGCCTGTGCGATTTTTTATGCAAGCGTAATGCATGGCGCATTCCAACAAGGGATTTATTGAAGCGCGGACTTTTAGCCCTTTAGTGATAGGCCGCAGAGGGAACTTTTGTTACCAGACGACAAAAGGTCAAGTAGACTTCCCAGCCTACGTGCACCTGCTCACCATCTTCCCAGTTTCTCAGCTTCCTATTAATTTCCCGAATTTTTGAAGTTGAGGGGGGGGGAACAGCGCTTACAGTAGGAAAAGTTTCGAAGAGTCAGCAGCGGGGATATTTTCAAAAGTTTGTGACAATCGTTATCAAGGCCTCTATACGACTCCACTACAATTTTGGTCACAGCGCCGGCACTTCTAGCGGACTTTGGTCAGAGCCATCGATTTCGGGTAGGATGGGCAAGGATAGGTGGCTGATCGATCAACGGACAACCCTGCTCCGATCCGGTGGGTCTTCGCTCTTCGCCTCACTCTTCCCTTCCACCTTCATTTGAAAGCGATTTTTTTTCAAATCACTCTACAATATTGGGAGTTGATATCGAGGAATCGCAATAGGTTGGCTCATATGTAATGGTTTTTTTTGTCTAAAAATTTTCATATGAAAGAAGCCAATTATCCCCCTCATGTTCTACACTGCTTGATAGACAATTTTCTGTACTATAATAGTGTGATTGTTTTCTTACTATTTCTCGACCTGTGTCGATTTTTATTAAATTGAAAGGGAAATTCCGGGCGACCCGGAAAGCGAGTTTTCGACAACTACTTTTTGAATTTTTCTCGCCTCTCAATCTACAGAAGAAGCTCGAACATTGTGATATGAGTGATCAAAGAAAGATACGTCTCATGACATCTTGAAGTTGGTCCAAGCGATCAAGACGTGGGATTTTGGACCTTGTAAATATGCGTGGCATGGGGGGGGGCTCTTCGGGAGGGACTCCCTGCAGAACCTGCCCACTCATTTTTGAACGTCTAACATCAACTGAGGGTGGTGGTTGATAATGATAAGGAAGCATTCTATGACCTCTAACGATCCCTCAATCTTTGGCATGATTCTCAGTTAATAAGGTGATTCCGTAAGCTCTCAGTTGGACAGAATAGGGCATTAGGTTCGATGCTTGTCTGTGAGGTCGAAACTGAAATCTTCGAATCACTTAAAGTATTACTAGCATTCCTAAGAGACATAGCCTTCCAGCCATACAGGGGGGCCAAAAAAAAAAGTCATTTTGCCTCCATGACTTTCAAGGCGCTATAAGTTACACTTTATTAAATTTTTATCGGACATTTTTACTACCATATTAAAGAGCACATTAAATACTATAATGATACTCCGCCACAGCCTTCTGGAGGAGCGCCATCGAGAGATTCGGCCGCGCGAAAGTGAGTGGGTACCGGAGTTGAGCGAGATCGTTGATTTCTCCGCCACTGTAGACCACCCTGTTGAGCTCCGCCCGAACCGAGTAATTGAGGGGGTTTAGTTCAGGACCCCCGCTTAAATACTCCATCTTTTCCAGGTACTCAACGTTCTTCCATTCCAAGTAGGCGTTTTTCCAACGCCCTTCGATTAAATGTGTTGTCACCCAATCCTGTAGCAGTACAAAGTTTCCAAGAAGGTACGGGCGACGACATGAAGATGGGATATTCTCCTCGAGTTGCTCGATGTAGCCACCAGCGCACACCCTCAGTCTGGGGCCCACGAAGAAAATATCGGTTCATCCATTCCAGGTACGGCCGGTCCACACCTTGAGGTCTTGCAGATCAAGAGTACTGGTCTCCAGGTAGCTATCCATGGGTGATTCCATTCAAGAAGTTCCGCAGCTGTTTGGGAATTCCAAAGGCGTTCTCAGGCCGCGACTGGAGATGACTTCATATTTTGGTGTACATGAAGGTGAATGGCGGCAGCCGGCTCCTGCTTATAGAGGAAGATCTTGGGTATCTTCCGCCCTGGTACTCATATCCACTTCCTCTGTCTGGGCTGCGAAAACTTCGCTCATATGTGACTCGGCCGGAATGACTTTTTTTTGCCCCCCCCCCTGTAGATGACGTTTTCTCCTTTCCATAGGAATCCCTTCCACCACGATCGTCTCGAGGGCTAGGATAGTGTAGATATCAATCTAGCGTCTGTCACCGTTTACCAGTGTGCACCAGCGTCTACTAGCGTCCGAGAGATGATGGCAGACACTAGACTGATACCTATACATTCCTCGTGGCTGAAGTTGGACGCTCGGGACGCTGGTGGACGCTGCCGCAAAGTATGAACGCAGCCTCACTTTCTCTACTCCTCATAAATTGCTGCTTTCAGAACTGCATTGGATTGGAATCGCTTGACGCATTGTACTGGGCACAATACACACTTTGCTTCGCCCACCTTGCGAAACTCAAGCAAAAGTTCTCCCGAACTTCGTCCCCCCTGGTCAGACATTTTCCTCGCAAGCAGTCTGGCCCATCGAAAATGATTTCGGGTAGGATCACATGCTACCCTGCTGCGCTAGCTTCAAGCCTCGCATAAGGTCAGGAGACAAATTTCTGGCAAAATTTACCTAGAATAAGACATTTCGGGTAAAAACGAGACCAGCCTCCAAAAAACAGGGGCAGGTAGGACGAGTGATGCATAGCAATCTTGACGTTTTCTTATTTTTCCTATTGTTCCGATTTTCCATCGCTGAAAAAGTAGAATGGCGCAGCTTCGCAGCCTACTATCTTTCCGTGTTGAGATATGAGGTGTGGATCGACTACCACCCATTCAAACCAAGCCCTTCATCACCCGGAGGCAAACTTACCACTGGTGCACTCGTCTGGGGGAAAGAAACACTGACTTGTACATCATCTGATCCCCTTCGGTCATTGTAGATGTCGAATTCTACTCGAAAGTCCCTGCGCTTTTTTATTGGGGCGTGATGCGTGGCGCATTTCGAAAAGGAACCATTAATGTGCAGACTTTCGGCTCTTTAATAGTACTTTGATAGTAGGCCGCAAAGGGAACTTTTGTGACGGCGACACTCGTGACAGGGCACTGCTTCATGATGTGTGAAATGGCGGTGTCACTAGGCCCACCAATTTCATCCTCTTTCCTCACCTAACCACCCTTTCTATACTTTCCAAGTTTCCTATTACTTTTCCAGTTTTCGGGAATGAGGGGGTGGACGGTTGTACACAGCGCACACGAAACGGGAAAATCTTAGAAAAGTCAACAGCAGGAAAATTCTAGAAGGCTCGAAAAATTCCTAGCAATCCAGCGACCGGAACAGTTCTTGTGGACTCTTCTTTGACTTTCGTCATAGCACCGACACTCCTTGTGGACTTTGGTCAGAGCCATT